GGGCCCTCCTCACCACCCAGGACGCGGGCGGCGTCCCCTTCAACCGCTCACGTGTCGAGGCGTTGGGCGGCCAGTACAGCACCAATCCCACCTTGGGTGTGTCTTATGTGTTCGTCCCCAAGAACGCCGACGGCCTGAAAATCCTCCTGGGCGAGGTGAGAGGCGGGTGCCGAACAGGCGTTTGTTGGTCAAGGGCGGTCAAGGGCAGATCGTGGACTGGGGATAGTCCAGATGGGTTTCATGGGCTAAGGGTGCTGCTGCTCGGGGTGAAGAGGCTGTCACGTGCAAGGGTCCGCGATGTCGCACTCTTGCCATGCGGACCGCCTGGACCCTTAACACCTGTGCGACCCTCGGCAGCTGCTTGAAACCTCACGCTCTGCACGATGACGTCACCATGACATCATCCACCCGACAGGCCGACATGCTCATCGACGAGACCTACTACATCGGCATACCCTCGGCCCTCAACATCAGCCGCTCCCTCGGGTTCCTCAACGTCGGCGAGGCCCAGGCCACGGTGCCGGCATTCACGCAGCAGCAGGTCTACAGGTGCGTATGGACCTGCTGCCCGCAAGTGGCCGCCACGCCTGCGCACCATCCTTCAAGCAGCGTGGGTGCGACTGCAAAGGTACATTGCAAATGAATCACACCAACAAAAGGAAATCCCAGGTTTGTCGTTCGCAGCAATGTTCGTTGCTGAAGCTGCAACCTCCTTCCTCCGCCCCCAAGGTGGGACGGCGAGCAGAGCCCCACGGGCAGCAGCAGCTGGCTGGAGATGGCGGTGGCGCGGCCCGACTGGGTGCTCATGGATCTGGCGCGCGCCATGACCCCCGCAGTACTCAGCGACGTCCTCAACGTGACCAACCACCTCGCAAACAAGGGGCCCGCCGGCACGGTGAGGCGGCAGTAGCGAGGGTTCCGGGTTTTTTTGGGCGGGGGGCGACGGGCGAGGAGGGGCGGTTTTGAGTCTGGGATATGCAGGGCCGGTTCAGGAGGCGGCCCCAGGTGCTTGAAAGCTTTTGGGTGGGGCAAGGCCCCAGCTGCTAATGCAGACCTGCGCGGGCCGTGCGCTGTCGCTGCGGGGCTCCCCTCCTGTCATTGGCGAATGGCAGCAGACCGGGGCCTTCGACGGCTCGCAGCCAAAAACCTCGCTGCATCTGCGGGGCCCGTTTTCCTCACACCCACCAATGAATACACATACACCCTTCGCCGCAGTCAGCGCGCTCGCATGCGCCTCGCTCAAACTTGAACGCCGCTCTCCCGCCCCCGCAGGACTTCAACTATCTGCTGCAGGTCGGAAACAAGGCCGACCGCGGCCGCCCCCGCATCACCGCCGCCAAGCTCTGCACCACCTTCCCTTCCTGCAAGGACCGCGGCGCCTTCGCCATCTGCCCCAACGTGTATCGCGACTGCGGCAGCGGCGCGCTCAAGCGCGCCGACCCGACGCAGCGCTGCAACAGCTGGGCGGTGTGCGAGCCCGTGGAGCTGGACGGGGCGGCGGGCGGGGGCGGCAAGAAGAACACGGCGGCGCGCGCGGCGCCCGGCGCGGCGGCAGCGGCCGCGGCGCTGCTCGGCGTGGGGGCGCTGCTGGCGCTGGCTTAGAGAAGGGCGCGGCGGCGCTGGGCCCGACCCTCTGTTGCATTCGTCTGGCTGGCTTGCGGCGACTGAAGCGCCGACACGCCCGGGAGAGTGCATTCATGAGGTGGCCCCTGAGCAGCAAGATGAGGAACGCACCTACAGACCCAGACTCCGCCTCCCAACACAGGAAGGTGCATGTTGCAGCAAGTGGTTGCTTTCATTCGCGCCGGCGGCCGATGCCGCGCGTCTCAAGCAGCAGCTTCGCTGACGCCGCCACATCGCGTCGCCGCAATCATGCAGCCGACTGGATAGCCCCCAATTAGACGACGCTGCCCACGTAACACTAGACCTCTCACAGAGCAAACCCCTGGCTGAAGGCTCAGCCACTGGAGAGAGGTGCTCTACTGGCGTTGCTCTGCCGCAGCCGGGTCGTGGGGAGGGGCGGCGGCCACGTCCCGCTTCCTTTGCCTCACGTCCTAGCAGTGGTCTCCTGCGAGCGCCTGCCGCAGGGCTGCCCCGCACCGTTGCACGGCCCTGTTGCAAGAGCAGCACCACCCTCTCCAGTAGCCATGTAACATGGGTAATCCCTTGCGACCATGCATAGGTGCAGCTCGTGCCCAATTATGACGGCTGGCAACCCCTCGCATGGATGACAAGCTATGTAGCATCCGACGACAGAACACCATCAAACAGAAAAACGTACGGGGAGGGGCGCGCAAACTGGCGCGCCAGAGCAAAGCAAGCTGCAGGCCGACCAGGCCCAAAAGCCGAGCGACTCTCTCCGTCACCGCCCGCCACTGCCACCACCGCCGCCGCTTTGCCGCCAGGGCGCCTCGTACTTCAGCTGCGGCAGATCCACCTGCGCCCCCCGCGCGCCGTCCGCCGCCGCCGCCGCTGCCGCCGCCGCCGCCGAGCCCCGGGGGTCGAGCAGCCCCAGAGCCTCCTCCTCGTCGCCGGCGCCTTCATGCTTCAGGTAATCAGACTTGGACCGCTTCAATTTCCAGCCGCCCCCGCCGGCGCCGCCTTTGCCTTCCTCGCCATCGTCGTCGCCGCCGCCGTCCCTGTCGACCGCCGACGGCAGCAGCTGCAGGAACGGCATCGGGAGCAGCGTCGTGACGACGCAGATCGCGGTGAGGGCGAAGAGGTTGTCGAAGTTGTCCGAGGTTACGCCGAGCAGCGCGGTGAGGCCGCCGCCGAGCGCGCTGCCGATGAAGGAGCCTGTTTTTGTGTGTGTGGGGGGG